GATCCATTCACGCCCTTCATTCATTCATTCATTCATTCACGATCACTTACTCATTAAGTCATGCGTTTTTTTGTATAATTATTTTTTACCCTTTTTCTGTGGGGTTGTCATGTTCCAACTTGTTCAGCATAATCTTACCTGCGAATCTAGATTTGGTAAAACCTCTCACCTGCACAATGAAGAACAGAACAAGTGTCTTTTTGATGGAAATTTTTGATAATCTTGTTGTACCTATTATCGTTGTAGATGGATCCGTAAATAATTCTACATCTGTATACTCTGTTAGTCACCCGGTATAATTGCCATTCGGCGTAAAACATAACCGACAGCTAACCTGACGACGCCACGGATGTCTAACGGAAAGCTATCTGCTTCCATGTGGGTTCGCTTTGTCCGTGTTGACGTGTCATGAATCATCATCAGTCTCCTTTGTGACAGGCCTGACAAGACAGCCGTGATGTCTCCATCTCCCCACGTCCCATTGTCGGGAGTTACTCACCGTGCGGAATTCCCCGGCCCTGCAGCCAGCGCGCCATGGGAACCGTTAGTAGTACGGCACCGTGTCAGGATCCGTCAGTAGCCTCTAACAGGCTTCGGGAAGCGGCTGGAAAGAGTAGAAATTGGCCAAATTGGCAGGTAACATGCCAGGGAAGTTGGTCCGGAGTACAGTAGGCTGCTCCAGTGTTGTGCTCGTGTTTGAGGGTAGAAAACGGGTACCAAAACAAAACCCCTGGCAGTGGTTGGAGAGAAGCCATCTTCCCCCTCCCCGGGTGACTCATGGCTGACATCTTCCCCCAACAAAGCCTTCTCACGAGCCGTCGCCTCCTTTTGTTGCTCTTTTTGAGTCATCATTCTTACTGCCTGGACGTGACATGACAACATAAGAAGAACACTGTGTACAGACATCATCATTCTAGGCGGGAGATTAGCTATAGGTGCTGAAAAGTTGCTGATGCTAGCTGGGTGCTTGGCATGTCAAAAAGTGCAGATACTGTATCACCCCATACAGTATTTGCACAGACTGTACCATTTGGACTTGTAGGTAGTAGATTTATTCTTCAAGAAGAGATTTCGGTCGGGGGTAGTAACTGGTATTTTATTGGCCTCCTTCCACTGGCCAATGAAAGATAGCAAAGCCATGCTAACGTTTAGTTCTAATGCTAACCCCCGAACGAATAATCACGAGGGGCGTTGGATACAGGCGGCAAACAGAAAGTCCCCGCCGAATCTGCTTGGAGATTACGAGCGAAAGTTCTGCTTGGATCTGGAGAATAGATCTCATCTGTCACATTCAACAACAGTCCCTTCGATTAAGTGTGATTCTAACTGACGTAAAATCAACAAACACTCCAACCAAGGAGGTTTAAAATTCAACATACATAAGTCGATTGGTACCAAACACAGGGTGTAGACCCGGAGGCGAAACTAACATTGCCTTCCTGTGACATTCTGCCAAATCTTACAGATTACGTCTAAGCCGTAGAAAGATATCAACAGAGCAATATTTAGGGAAATAGGCGGACAGAAAGACTTATGTATTTATCTATTCATAATCACAGTTGAGCGAGGTAGCCCCTCCTTTCTAAACATCTATTGATTTGAAAGCGATCAGAAACATATTACAGAGTTAGGTAAACAAATACACGTAAGCGTGCGGAGATCCTTCCTACTGTGTTGGAGATACCCGGAATAGCTTTGTTAGAATTTTTCATTAAAAACGAATTCGTTGGATGTTGTTGGTATCACGAGTTATAAACAAACCGTTCTGCTGCTTGGTTGTGTGAGGATTGTTAGATGGGGAAATCATTCACATACAGAGAGAGAGAGACACACACACACACAGCATCCAAAATTATCACAGTTTGCGAGAGAGGCTTCACGATCTTTGGCTGATAGATAATTAATTATCTTCTGGACAATCAAAGAAGTCGTTTTTAATTCTCTCCCACGGCTGAATTTCAAGACCATGTCCATCCCGGCTGACTTTGACCACACACGGTCTACAGTACAAAAACAAAGCCGAGCGCACCGCGTCACAACAAAGCGTCATATCACCCGGGACTGCACCGAGATGAACTCCCATTCAACAGTACATAAATCAAATCATACGCCTCAATAACCAATCAAGTGCTTTATCCAAGCACCAAGGATAAATCGTGTCCTTCAGGATTTCCTTTGAAAGCGTCTCTTAATTTTACCTGGGAGCGAAAAGGAAATAATTTTCTCACAGAAGCGACGTTTTCTAAAACTATGGGATGAAACACGAGCTTGTCCGCACTACGGTGTGCGTGGAATAGCGACATATGTTACATTTGCGAGATAAATCCTTTGTTAGTAGCTCTGTCAGCGATAATTGGCCTTTTGATTCACTCTTTCAGCTTCAGTGGAGAACGTGATAATCCAGTCATTCAGAAGAAATCTGCCAACAAAGAACGGCCGATGGCTTCACGCGGAAAACATTAAAACAGATCAAACCCTGCACGTTGATCGGACGTGTTGGTGGAAATCAAAGCTCACCTCTCCGAGCGTCTTTGTCGGAAGAATAATCCGTTTATTTCCAGATCAACTAACGACATGACTTCTCTTTGTCGACGGTTCAAAATTGACAAGTCCTGGATCCTGAAACAATGTACCGTAGTTATAATCAATTCCTTAAAAGATAACTATATCTATACCTGCCCAAATCATACCTGTCACTGTGGGAACTTGAAGACTAGCTTACTAAACAGCAGTGTACGTATTCCTGGTAAAATGATACATGTACATGAGTAGCCAACATACATGTATTTCTTCACATACATTGTATATTCTGCACCATACGATATATACTTTGCAATACATGCATAAAATGCTGTTCATATTATTATGCTCATTCGAGCCCTTTTATTTTTTGCTCAACGGAATAGAACTGAGAACTTCACACATACGTTGCGTAAAGATGATGCTGAGGATTGATTATGAATTGGTTATAACTCGTTATACTCCAATTAACTGATTACCCAGTTCATTACTGATAGCTAATCTGCATTTTTGAGGATCAACGCCATTTTGATATTGGGTAATCTCCGTTCCAGCAGGACCCGTTGCTATGGCTATATATTCTCTACGGAACAAGCCTTAATTCCGGTCGATATAAGCTAGAGGAATACACCGTGGAATTATCAGTTTTCCTATGTAAAACGCAGAGGAAGACCACCTAGGAGGACATGGGCTCATCACATGTATCACAGATATGATTGATTCTTAACGACTCCGATGGGAAATTGACAAAGTCATCGATTATCGAACCTTGTGTCACTGTAGGACAAACATGGCACTGTCAGGGACGGGTCAAAGGTGAACCAGATCTAGAAGAAGTGACGGAAAATTATGTTGTATTTACGCCAAAAAGCAGTTACTCAAGCAACTGGATATGATTTTGAAATTTCAAAATCATATCCAGTTGCTTGAGTAACTGCTTTTTGGCGTATCGTATTACCTGGATGTCTAACCTTCATCGACGTATGTTGTATTTAGATTGCACTGTACTAGTATTTATTTATCTATCAGAAAATTCATGTTTTACTGTTTGAATATGGAAACATGAGAGAAATGTAACAGAAATGCACATTAATATTTTGTGGAAGAATTTGTTTTTAAAATCCCATGACTGGGACAGTACACTACACTTGTCAGACGACAGACACTTGACCGTTAATTCGGCGTCCTGGGAACGAGTCCCGAGGGCATAGCAACGGCGACTTGGTGACTCTGGGAACGGTTGTCAATGACTTTCCTACATGAGACAAGTATAGATCGTTTTTAGTTGCCATGGAGACGTGAACAATGTTCCCTTGGGCTGAGATATGGCAGAGGCCGTGGCTTTGACGTCTGTGGGAAGATGGCGGACAGCTTTCTCTCATCCAGCGGTGAGCGGAAATGCTAACGAAAACTGCAGAGATCGAGGAAACCATCGATTAACTTCAAAACTTTAAACACCTCTAAACATTGGATCTGAAGTGTCTATTATTCTGATACATCTCTGTTTCAGTTTTTTGCTCCCGGTGAACATTTTTAAAAGTACCGCCTGTATTTCCCAAACAGACTAACCTCCCCTTTTGCCAAACCGAATCTCCGACAATGCCGGAAATGTTTAAAAATCAGTACAATAGAATACACAAACGCCTCTCTCGTACTCCAGTCTCCATTATACTAATGGCATGCTCTTCAACTAAAGTACGTTGGGAAGAAGAGCCCTTAATTTAATTTGTAACTAGACTACTCTCTCCAGGCCTGTGCCTTCATTCTTACTCCACCACAGAAACCTGGATGAAACTAAGGACCGTGAAAACAGTCCCGGCACGTGGCCGTCCGCTGGCCGAGGTTATTGACATCCGAACTAATCATTAAAACGAGTTTAACCATGTGGTAAGATGCGCCACGACAGCCGTGCAACCCGCGAGAAGTCAGCAAAACAAAGCTTAGCCTGGGGGGGACGGGGAGTCTACAAAAACCAACTTTTCGTTTCACACTCGTTAGTCTAAGTGGCGTATTCATGTGTCTTACAAAGCACTAAAGTTTGCAGTTGTGAGATTTGTTGGTGAGTTGATGAGGCGTGTGAGGAAGGGTCTAAGTAGGTTCTACCGCCGCGTGGCCGCAGCACGGCCGGCACTTGTGTCCTTATGGTCGGTATAATTGATCCTGCAGACCGCAAAAAAGGAAGCATGGACGTGTAGGCTGAGTGATGCTTGGATGGTTTTACTGTCTGCATTTTAAGCGTTGTTGTAGTACTTATTCGTTTTTGACTGAAGAGTGGGAATGATACAAAATAAACAAACAGTACGACTATGGATATGAGGCTCATTGCTGGCTGGCGGTCGTGCATCGCGATTGGTGGCCCATCTGTCAAAAGGGACAGGTACCCTCGGGGTCCTTATTTTTGTCCCCATTGTTATCTGGTGAAGAGCCGCCCTTAAAATCCGGTGAGGCGGACAGTACCGACCATTCTGCGCTAACAACACTTCGGAAGCACTGAGAGGAGTGCGAGGTTCAGTCTGTCGTTTTCTGACGAAGTTATAGACGAGATGGAAGAACGTGAAGACCACGCCGGACACACTGTCGGGACCGGGTCGCCTGGGTCTCCGTGCGTGTCGTCTCCCCTGTCCTGGTCCAGCGGCGGCTCGCCCAGACCGTCCTCCCCCTACCTGCGCTCCCAGCCCGGCAAGATCAGGAAGGGGAAGAGCCTGAAGAAAGCCGAGAAACAGCTGTCAGAGGAAGAAGTACAAGAGCTGCGACTGAAGGTGAACGAGAGGGAGAGGAAGAGGATGCACGACCTGAACTCGGCACTAGACGGGCTGCGGGAAGTCATGCCGTACGCTCACGGTCCGTCCGTCAGGAAACTCTCCAAAATCGCCACGCTGCTGCTGGCCAAGAACTACATCCTCATGCTCAACAGTTCCTTGGAGGAGATGAAGCGGCTCGTGAGTGATGTCTACCAGAACGGCCACCGTGGACACCACGCGGGGCTGCCGTCGCCGGCGGCAACCTTACCGAGCCTGCACGGGCCCGCCGTGAGACCGTCCCCGCCGCTTCTTCCGCACAGCACGCTTATCAAGCCCGAGGCGACGTTCAGCGTGCCGCCCACAAGTCTACACCGGCCTGCGGCCCACCTTTCCCCGAAGGACTCTCCAGTGCGCCCCTCCTCGTCCGTCAAGCCTCAGCCCAGGCCGATCGGGCTGCCGACGAACCCTTTCGGCGTGTGGCCCATCCCCTGCTCCTGCCCGCAGTGCCCTACAGATCTCTCGGCCGGCCTACCGTTCGGGAAGATGCCGACGTTTCACACAAGGTGACACGCGGCTCGGACAATGTAGAAACTATCCTACAGAACTCTGTGTGCAAACTACAAGACAGGTGAACTCTTAAGTTTATCGACAGTTGATATTTACAACTCACACCACTGTGAATCAACTTGATGGACTATTTGTTCGGAATGGTTATTCCAAACCGAGTCTTTTCGTTTCCATTGTGGTAAACCATGAGCCTTCCACTCCATTTCACACGGACACAGGCCCCACAGAGTCGGTAATGTCTCCAATATTTCTTGAGATAGCTCAAAGATTTTATCTATTGCTTTGTTTAAGACGAAATACCGTATGAAGTTAGTTACGAGTACACGAACATAGGGGCATGTTTTGTTGCTGTCCATTCATTATGTGAAAAAATGACACAGTAAAGATAGAGAACATAGACGTTTGTTATAATGTCTATCTCAATCAAACTTATGTTCTTTCTATGTACATAACAAATTCGAAAGGCGATTGAATACCGTTCCTTTTTCTGTAACAGATTATACTATTGAACCTACAAATGTTGTAAATATCAAAACAATTCTGTCCATTTTATATCCGTTTAACCATGCAATGTCAATGTAAATATTGGAGATCTTGGACTAAATAAATGCTTTATTTTCCACCATACTTCTTTGCTTCCTTGTTCTTTTAACGGATTTCTAGCTATTCGGTTTGTGAAAATATAATCACGTTACGTTACAGATTTCATTTCTAACTGAACCAATGTAAGGCCGTTTATTATGTAAACAGCTTAAGAGTGGTCTAAACGTTTTAGCGAGTCGTTCTGATTTACTCACTATTCAAACACACTGCAGGAAAGTGTCCAGAGGAAAAAATTTCGTTGACTCCATATTCGGAAAATATATTCTTTCTATTCTACAACAAAGCTTACTACAAGTTATTTGTCTAAGTTAAAAAAAGTTGAAGACATTCCCAAAACATGTTTAAAATCAATAATGTTGGTGACTTCCCTTCTTCCTGAATAGTGTAGAATAAAAAGAAGCTGTGCTGTTACTTGCTCGTGAAAGAAAGTAAGAGGTGTTAACGAATAAACCGGCAAAGAAACAAACAGATGGTCGAACAAATTGTCGGAAGGAAGAAGTTAAGAAAGAGTTCCTGACAGAATACATTTTGTACTTAGATACTTCACCCCCACCTTAAATCTATCGCTCTTCTAAGAGTGCAAAAAAAGTCTTGCTAAACACCTCGACAAAAAGTTTAACAAAGAAAATCAGCGGGTTGTTTAAGGGAAGCAGATGTGCATTAGAGCGCTAACGAGGGTTACATATCGCACCCGCGGATAATGACAGGTTGGACGGGCAGGTCCCCCTCCGGGCCGAGCCCAGGCTCCTCCCGAGCTTTTGTTGGGGACAAATCGTACCAGAGAAAAATGTCCATCTCTCTTTTTTTGCTTCTTCATTCTTTTTTCTGGTAATGAATGAATGAATGAATAAAGGTTTATGAATGCATCGTGTATCAAATACAACACAGCTTCTAGATTAGAAAGAGGTTAGAATCACGCCTTACCAGTCGGAGTTCTGAAGTTAGCAGTGCTTGGGAGGGTATACGTTATGTTGTTAACCATCGGCCTCGTGTTTTAGTAAGGAGAGCAACAATAAAGACTGCATCAAGCTTTTAAGAAAAATGCGGATAAATTGTGTATTGGTTAAGACCAATCAGTTCTACAGTAGATTGTACTTGCCCAGTGGAAGTCACAGAAGTCACTTTAACAGTTATAATGATTCAGACTAGGTAAAACAGGACTTTAAGCTTCATAACTTCATTGTTTGCATACGAATAGAATTCGGTTTCCGTCTTAAGGCCAAGAAGAATATACCATGTTTAGACATCTGAGTTACAGATTGGTGTGAATTCTGGACAAGATATTCTGAACTAAATCTATATCTTCAAGCAACAAAACAACACGCCAATTTGCCAGATTCTCTTGTATGAGAACAACCCGACGAATTTGTTATGATGTGGGAGTATTAAGCACGAGTAAAGTATATATTATCGTGTCGAAACGGAACATAAACACAAGTTTAAAGTGCACTCAGTAACATCCAAGGCCGTCTGAATTAGCCACAGTGTCCATTTATAGCAAGAAACATATCTTTGTGTTGAAAACAGGCTTTAAAACTACAATAGTAAGTACCACAAGCAAGTTTGTTGCACACATTGTGAACTTACGTTTTATCGAGGGCTTTTCTATGTGCAATCGGTTAGCTTCGGCTGAAAGGGAACCTTGTGTCCAGCATATCTATTCACACTCTGTTCAAAGAAAACAATTCTTAAACAGTATTTTTGTGTTCTCTCCATGACGGTTTGATCATTCAAAAGTTGTCTACAAAGAAATTGGTTGTTGTTTGAAGCTTAAATAAACTACGAGGTGTAAGTAGAAAGTATAAGTGACATATTACTTGCAGTGAATATGGCGCGATATTTGCACAAACTAAAAACAAAGAAATTCCATAAAGTTTTTGGTTGAAAGATTCTAATACAAAATTTAAGGTACAATTTCAAGATTGTACTTTACTATGTGAATATAACCCTTGATATAATCTTTGACCATCACTTCTTAACATACATGTTGCATTTAATTACAAAGAAATACCATAAAGGTTTGGGTTGAATTATTCTATTACAACATTTAAGGAACATACATTTTAAACATTATATATTTTATCATAGAATATAACATTTGGCCATCACTCCTTTCCTTACATGTACAGTTTAAGATGAAACAGTATAAAGTAAAAGCATATGTACAGGGTCGATGAAAGTTTAGATCCCTACATCATGCAGTGACCGCAGCGATTGTTCTCTAACTACGGCGCAGATTCTTCCAGCTCGCCGCCAGCATGGCCGTCCTCTGGTTACCGGCCCGGCCTTTCTCCTGCTCGCAGGTGTGGCGTGCGAACCCCCGCTGTCCCGCTTTGTAACCAGGTGCCGATCCATAATTCCAGCTATGTGACATTTGAACTTCCATTTTGCCCATAGCTAATCGCTTTGCCCGGTGTTTAACGCTCCCCTTCAATCCGCCTAAGCGCGATCTATGGAACCTGTCAGCTTCGGTCCGGTGTGGCGCGCAAATGAACAATGACTGAGAAACCATAGAAAATTAGTCCTTTACACCGCAGACTATCACTTGGACATCGGTCACTATTTGGATCACTGGTAAAAAAAGATTTATAGAGAGGCCTGAACTTGGGGTCACGCCGCCACCCGGGGCTATTTTATTCAATTTTGGCCGCTGAAAATGAGAAAATATCAGGGCGGTGTGGATAACACGGGGAGCATGCTGGGAACAAATGTTCACAAGGTGGGGAAGTTACAGTGACAGATTCTGCCAAGTCGGGAGAAAACAAGAAGGCCATACTTACAGTACGGGACAAAGAACGGCCGCACAGCGGTGGGTACGAGAAAGATGTTGTACGAAGAACAAGGAAATCGTGTGTTTTGGGACTGGAAAGTAGCCCGAACGGCATATACCTGTACATATATGCATAAAAGCGAGGAATCGAAATGCTGATTTTGCAATACTGGATCACAGTTGTTATAACGCAAAGAAAAACATCAAAATCATAAAAAAATATTACGTGATAACTGAATGACCCCTTTCATTTCTGGCTGATAGGCTATTACAGATCACTACATTGCTATGTAGATACACACATACTTCTATGTTTTATCACGTTTCCAAAGTATAGAAAGTGAAAACAAAACACAAAAGACGATTAGCTCATTTTGCTAACTTCGGATGAAGCCTACTGTATCAATGAACAATGGCAATGCTCCATATTGGACAAATTTACTTTAAGCCAAAACTTCCTGACACGGAGAACATTTTAAACCGAATGCCACATTCCAGGTGTTCAAAGATTATCTAGCATATTCCACGGAGATTCTTTATCTTATTGTTACATCAGTTGAATAATTGACATTTTCTAAAAGCCACCATACACTGACGCGACCGCTAAAAGACTCAAGCCAAGAATAGATTGCAGGTAATTATCCATATTTTCTGTGTGTCATTAAACAAGGCGAGAACAAACAACCTTTATGGTGGCACAGTCTGGGATAACAGCTGGCGGATAGCTGCCCGTATGAGGAGATGTTGAGGACATTGTTTGTAATGAGTGCCGGTAGATAGCTGGAGGGAGAACCTTCAGTACAGAACCCCACACCTCAGGGCAGGTGGGAGGGACCAGGTAATGAGGCATACACGCTGACAGGCCCCAACAGCCTGCTCAAGTCGTTTGTCATTTTGTTTTGTTTTGTTTTGGCCTGCTAGCTTCGTAGTCTAGCACTGTAGCTATGGAAAATGACTTTTGCAAATACAAGTACCTGTTTAATTGTTTGTTTACATGTTTGTTTTCTTTGCCGTAAACAAAATCATTGGGCTTAAATGTTTTATGCCACCCAAGTGTGTGGAAACATCGTGAAAATTAATGGAAAAATAAAGAGCTGTAAGGTAATGAATGTCCTTTCTAGTATCATAAAGCAACTGAATGTTCTAGCAAACAAACATTTACTAGCTGACCAACGGTAGTGTGTGCACAACACATTTGCCTTTGCTCTTGTGAATTTAAATATGATATCAACCCAATACTGTAGAGAGGAGAAATCAACACTTTGTGGTAGGAAAACGAGAGCAACGATTACAAAGAATTTTAATGAGCTATTTCTTCTTTGACTGGCTTCTTTGTCGGTTACGAAAAGAGATGAATTACCTTTCCTTAATGTCGTACTAATGTTTGGTTTAAGGTCTTGAAAATGGAGACTTTGTGTGCCAATTAACTAGGAGCTTCTTCAGCACCAAGGGACTTAGAAAGAACAACAAAGGACGCGAGTAACGAGAAAAGGCTGCAGTAAACAAACAGGTGGCTGAGAAATGGTCTCTCATTTAGATCCGCCGGGGGCAGAATGTGTCAGTAGTACTATGATGGGATATATGTCACCTGAAATCACCGAAAATTACTCACCTGACACACACGGCCTGCGGTTACCTGGACATAAAATGACCACTAAAAGTCCACATTCCCACAATTTTACATGGAAATACATTTGCTTTGTATCGTTAAACTGTCTTCTGCGAGGCGAGTTTAGCTTTCCATTTTTCATCGATTCATGGTCATAATCAATGAACACCTAATGAATGAAGTACACACACACTAATGTTATAACTAAAAGTTTTGCCAGGGTATTTACAGGACACCATCCCGGCTTACATACCAACACCAGCTGAAATATGTCGTTTTTCGGAAGGCTAGTTTTCCTCATGATTACCTCGATGTTCGTTAACATCTTGCAGCCTAATCTATGGGCGTACGGAGAAGAATAGCCGGGCCTGTTCCCTGAAGGCAGCACAATTATGTGGTTAAACGTCGTCTGTCACACCGCCGTGTGTCGCGCGCTGCACACGTGGCGGGTTTTGTCTTTGTTCGGTGAGTGTTCTCTCTAGCTGCGGGGCTAACGGCGGAGAGGTTAGGCATACCTGTCTGTCACACCTTTTGACAGCAGCCTTTTCTTTCTTACCTGCGTCCTTTGTTGTTCTTTCTAAGTCTCTTTCGTCTTAATGAGCTTTGGATTTGTTTCAGTAAAGGCCTTAGATCCA